CACCTGCTGGAGCAGATCCTGGTGGCTGAGAATCGGTGAGGGTGCCTGGCTGGGGAGAGCGCCGCGTGGTGTGGGGCAGCAAGGGCTGTGGGGTGCCTGGGTCGCCCGTGTGCCTTGCACTGTGCCTTCCTTCCCTGCCTCGCCTTACTAAATCCCTGGTGGGGATCAACATATCCATTTTATGAATGAGAAAACTGATGGGAAAGTTTAGTGACTCGCCCAGCGTCATGCAGTGAAATAATGGTGCAGCCAGGATTCACTCCTGGCTGGTGAGGTGAGGAATGAGACAGGGAGAGGAGGAATGGCGGGGTAGAACAGGAATTTGTCCCTGATTCTGAGGATGGAGATAGGATCCTATTGCCAATGCTCCCCTAAACCAATAGCCCTCCTCCCCACAAGCCGGAATGCCTTTTTATTCTACCTTCTCTCTCCTATATCATCTCCCTCCTCCTGAGAGAGGGAGAGAACACAATGCTCAGAAAATGGGTGCCAATCTAAGGGTTATTTACCCTCTTCATGCCATCCCAAATCCACCTCCTGCTTCCTCCTTAAACCAATAGCCCTCCTCCCCACAAGCCGGAATGCCTTTTTATTCTACCTTTTCTTCCCCATATCATCTCCCTCCTCCTGAGAGAGAGAACACAATGCTCAGAAAATGGGTGCCAATCTAAGGGTTATTTACCTTCTTCAGGCCATCCCAAATCCACCTCCTGCTTCCTCCTTCATTTTGGTCCATGTAACAGGCCAGGCATGATCTCATCCTGCAGCTGCTGATAGGAATCAGAAGGTTTTCTGCTGAGACACTGAGGGTGCTGGTATCTCAGCGGAGTTCCTCTCTGTTTCAAACAGCCCCTAACCCTACCTGACCAGCAAGCAAAGAGACACGGATTCCCAATGAAGGCAACAGGAAATGGTCTCACCACAGGCTGGGCTGAAAGAAGGAGGGGGAAAAAGGTTTTCTGCTAGATGCATGGGTGGGGGAAGAGGAAAGTGAGGTGCAGGGCTAGGCAAGGGCCAGACAGAGTATATGTTCTCTCCCCTTTCCCACGTTGTGTCAAGGTGAGTAGGTGGGGTCCAATTGAGGCCCGGCTGCCACTCTCTTGGCTGCCTCTTGGGGTCTCCCCTAAAATATGAAAACCCCTGAGCACTCTCGTTCTCTCTCCTTTGATGCTAGAGCAGATCCGGATGTCACACTTCAGGCTCAACCTGAATTCTCAGGCCCCTCAGGTTTTGAAGGGTTTGGAAGGGTCACTTTCAGTTCATGCAGCTCTCACAAGTGTGATGATCATAGGGTAGTGGTGCTTTCCTTGCCATCTTCAAAAAGTAAAAATAACTTTGTGGGGGATGGAAATTGTGCAACTCTCAAAAATGCATGAATGAAGACATGTAAATTGGGAAATCAAGTTTTGGTTCTGCTTGTTCAGCAAGTCATTGACCTCTCATCTAACATCACATGCCCTAAATTTATGGGAATGGACCATAAATTTAGAGGGCTAGCAAACAGAGTGGGTGCTCACTGGATGTGTGGGCCCATGTTGGTGGGTGTGCCCTGTAGGCCTGGTATGCGGGATGGGGCAGCTATAACTAGAACTCCTGGAGAGTGGGTGCAGCAAGCACCCTAGGAAGAGGAGGGCTACAAGATGCAAATAGCGCTGATATTTTTAAGGCTGGAAATAACATTTCTCACGTGGTTCAGAACTACTGAGAGAGGCATCACACTAACCAGTGTCCTTGGTCCCAAGAAACCACGTACTGGTTGAGGCATTGATTCAGGTATCACTTCAGGACCAAGGACAGATCCCAGCGCGCCTGTTGGGGGATCAGAGTCCTTCCAAAGAAAGGTAGAATCTACTCACTCCTCTGGACTGTGCCTGGAGGAGGCTGGAAGGGAAAGAACAGGGAATGACACACAGATAATGTGTGTTTATGAAATATTGTTCTTCCTCTGCCAACCAACTTCCTCTTAAAGAGGGTTCTTCCATCAGTTTCTCACTCCTTTTGCCATTCTCAGTTCTGCAGCTCTCTCCTTCCCAAGATGCTGCCACACCCACTTCCCAGGAGCCCAGGTGTCAGCTTCCCTCAGCTCAAATACCAGGATAAGTGCAACCTTGGTGTTTTGGGACTACGCTCTAACTAACCGAACTCCCCGACCAGGACCAGGGCTTCTTGCTGTCTTTAACCTTTTGCATTTTAATTATGATGTGTCCTGGTGTGGGCCTCTTTGAATTCATCTTGGACTTGTAATGTCTATTTCCTTCAAGTTAGAGATGTTTTCTGTCATTATTTTTTCAAATAGGTTTTCCATTACTTGTTCTCTCTGTTCTCCTTCTGGCACCCCCATGATGCAAATGTTGGTGTTCTTGAAGTTGTCCCACAGGCTCCTTACACTATCCTTATTTGTTTGTTTTTTGTTGCTTGTTTTTTTTAAATTATTTTTTCTTTTTTTCTGTTCTGATTGGGTGTTTTTTGTTTCCTTATATTCCCATTGCTGATTTGATTCTTGGCTTCATCGACTCTACTGTTGATTCCCTATAAATTATTCTTCATTTCAATTAGTATGCTCTTAATTTCTTATTGGTCCTTTATTTATGCTGTTGAGGTGCTCACTAAGTTCATTGAGCATCCTTACAACAAGTGCTTTGAACTCTGTGTCTAATAGATTGCTTGTCTCCATTTTGTTTAGTTCTTTTTCTGGAGTGTTGGTCTGTTCTTTCATCTGGGACATGTTTCTTTGTCTCCTCATTTTGGCAGCCTCTCTGTGTTTGTTTCTATGTGTTAGGTAGAGCTGCTACGTCTCCCAGGCTAGATCGAGTAGCCTAATGTAGCAGTGCCCTGTAGGGTCCAGTGGCACAACCTCCCCAATCACCCAAGCTGGACACTCAAGGTGCGCCCTCTGTGTGGGCTGCATACAGCTTCCTCTTGTGGTTGAGCCTTGATTGCTGTAGGCATGTCAATGGGAGGGATTTACCCCCAGGCCGATCAGCTGCAAGGACTGGCTGTAACCTTCAACCACCATGGAGGGTCAGCTGTATAGGGCCCACCCCACAGAGCAGGACTTACTTAAGCAGGGCTCTGGTGCCCTCTGAGTCTACCCTGTGAGTGTGTTACTTGTGAAGGTGGTTGGGGGATGGTGCTTCAACATGGTATGAAGCTGTCCACTGGTTGTGATGGCTCTAGGGCCTCCTGGGAAGTACAGGCCAAAGTCAGCCGCCACCTGTATTCTGCCCCGGGCCACCTGGCATGAGCTACAAAGCAATCTGCATATGGCTTCTCCTTATGATGGGCTTGGAGGTGCCCCAGCGAGGTCAAGCTCTGAACCAAGGTTGGCTGCTGCTAGTGCTGGGCCTAGGGCCACTTAGTGAGAGGTATGGGGCTCGCTGAGGCCAGATGCTGCTTGTTTCAAAGATTTTAGCAAAGTCTGAAGCATGAACCAGGTCAGGCCAATCATATGGAAAAGCCACCAGAAACAACTTGGGTGGGCCTGAAAATTGGGTGGGGCAGAGCCTCAGGGAATCAGGTTAATGGGGTCTCAGATATGGCTCTGTGGAGGGAGGGCTCATCAAAGGAACAATGACGTCTGCCTGGGAGAAAGCTGCGTCTCCAGCCCTGATGCTGGTCAATTCAGTTCCTCCCCATTTGTCTCTGGTGCCTTTCAAGCTGCTGCCCCCCAACCCCCATGTTGGAGCTCACAAGAAGTGAGTTCAAGTTAGTCTGTGCACTTAAAGAGGAACTGCTTGGGACTCCAACAGCCTGTCTCCCTCAACCTCAATGTCCACTGGTTTTCACAGCCAGAAATTATAGGGTCTTCTCTTCCCAGCACTGGAGCCCTGAGCTGGGAAGTCTAGTGTGAAGCTGGGACACCTCACTCCTCATGGAGTACCTCCACAGCCGAGATATTCCTCCCTATTTTTACCTGATACACATGGGTGTGGGACCAGCTCATACTTGTCTCCACTGCACCTACCAGTCTCGATGTGTCACCTACTTTAATTCCCTAGCTGTAGGACTTTAATTCAGCTTGCTTTCAAGTGGTTCTGAATGATGGTTGTTCTGTAGTTTAGTTGTACATAATTTTGATGTGGTTTTGAGATGAGGGGAGTACCACCATGTTTTCCTATGCTGCCATCTTTTATTTTCCTTCAGTCTATTATGTTAGTTTTTAAAGAATTCTTTATTGTTTAAAGTATTACATGAGTCTCCTTTTTCCCCCCATGGACCTCTCCCCTGCCACCCTCTCCCCCAAGCACAAGCCCTCACCCCGCTACAGTCTGTGTCCATTTGTTTTGCTCATATGCATGCACATAAGTCCTTTGGTTGATCCTATGCTGCCATCTTGACCAGAAGTTCCCCTTGTCTTGACTAATGTCCCCACCATCTTTCTGACTTAATCCCATAGGCAACCATTCAACATATAATACATATCTTCCTATCTGTGTTCTGGTAAAATCTTTGTTCTTGTTTTGTGCATACATTTTTAATTTTCACAAATTGTGCTGAATTATATTCCATTTCTTACTTTCCCCCACTCAGTGTTATGTTAAAATCCTTCATGTTGCTATGTTATCATCTGCTCAGTTACTTGTAACTGCTCCACGGTCTTCCAGACTGGATACCTGCCCATATTATCTCTCCACTCTCCCAGGCTTGATACTGGACTGTCCCCAGTTCCCCCCACCACAGATAACACTGCAGAGAATGAACTTGGCTATGTCCTTTTGTGGATCTGTGTTATAATCTCTTTGAAATAGAAATCTAAGAGCCCCAATTTCTGGCCCATTCAGTGTGTATCACCTTAATTTCATCCACTCATCCCAGCCTGCTCCCCAAATGGACTGTCCTAGCCTGTATGTACACCCACAGGGCTTCAGGGTGTTCATGGCCCCACATTTCACTAATTTTTCGTGTTGCCCAGCTTCTGCTTTTTGCCTAATAGGTGTAAAGTCATTGCTGTTTTCATTTTCACTTCTCTGATTAATAATGAGTTAGAGCATCGCTTTGTTAGCATTTTGGATTTCCTCTTTTGTAAGTTGCTCGTTTGTGTCGTTTGCCCGTTTTCTATTGGATATATTGCCTTTTTCTTGTGGATTTGAATATTTACTTATATTTACTTATATAGATTATATATGAATCCCTTGTTGGTTTTATATTTTTCCTTGTTGGTTTTAGACACTGCAAATATCTCTGGCTTTCTATTCTTCAAATATGTCAGGCTCATCAGCCCTCAGGGCTTTTGTCCTGGCTGTCCTCTCTGCCTATTATGTTCTCCCAGATACTTGCAGGCAGAGCTTTCTGGACATTTAACCCTCAGATGGCATCTCCTCAGACATATCCCTGCACCAAGCACTCTCTATTATGTCACCTGGTTTTGCTATCATTCTGGCCATATCACTATTATCCTGTTCATTCCCTGTTTACTTGCTTATTGTTTGTCTCCATATTAGCTGAGTCACTCTTAGTCACTGTTTAACTTCAGCCACTAGTTCAGTGCTTGGCACGCAGTAGGTTCTCAATACATGTCTGTTGAATGAATGAATAAATACACTCAGTCGTGCAGCATGGAGTGAAGAGAAGTTTGAAGGCAAGGCCAGGAGTGGTGTGCTTCAAGTGACACTCAAATGATGATAAGAAGTTAACATTGAGTCTTTCCTATGTGCCAGGCACTGTGGCAAGCACTTTACACGGATTATCACATTCATTCTTACCGTAAACCTATAGAGCCGGTATTTATAATCCTATTTATGAGATGAGGACACTAAGGTAGAAAGGTAAAGGAAGGTACCCAGGGTCTCGCAACTAGAAAATGGCAAAGAATTTGAAACCAGGATCCAGGGGATCTGCTCCAGAGCTAAGTTTCTTAACTAGGACCCATATAGCTTCTCCAAGGGAGGGTATAGGAAAGGATATGGGTGTGGCCAGGAGAAAGCACCCTTATAATCAGAGAAGTCTGGTCCTCCCAGGCAGGGGGGGAGGGGGGGAGGCAGGGAGAATAATGCTCTCCCTCATGTCTTATATGAGGTCCACAGAGTATACTAGTGACCAGGGGGCAAGCCAGACGCCGCAGGCCCGGCAACTCCACGGTCCCCTCCACTGTCTTCCGGCAGGGACCGGGTGGCGCGCATCGGGCTGGGCGTCATCCTGAACCTGGCAAAGGAACGCGAGCCGGTGGAGCTGGCTCGGAGTGTGGCCGGCATCTTGGAGCACATGTTCAAGCACTCGGAGGAGACGTGCCAGCGGCTGGTGGCGGCCGGCGGCCTGGATGCGGTGCTGTACTGGTGCCG